TAACACCTGAACTCTACCACAGCAGCATTTTTAATTTCTCTTTGATATTTGTGCTGATTGGCCCCCGATGAATGTAAAAACAAAGAATTACCTGATTTTTGTTTCTAAGAAGAATGAGAGCCACATATGAGGATATTAGTTTAAAATTTCAGTAGAACAGTAGCAGCATAACGTCCTCGTAAGTGCACATCAGGCCCTTGTAGAACAAAATTGAGTATTTTGGTCTAAATAACCAAAATGTGACGTCCACATATGTGGACCCAGGTCCTAGGAGGTTAAAATAAAGAAAAACACTGTTTTTGGAAATAATTGTGGCTGGCTGTAGCTCAGGTGGTAGAGCAGGTCATCTACTGATCGGAAGGTTGGTGGTTCGATTCCTGGCTTCCCCTAGTCTGCATGCCAAATATCCTTGGGCAAGATACTAACCCCAAATTGCTCTCCGATGCATCCATCGGAGTATGAATGTGTGTGAATGTTATCTAGAAAGCACCTAGAGATATGTGCTTGTGTGAATGGGTGAATGCACAAGTTGTGTAAAGCGCTTTGAGTGCTCAGAAGAGTAGAAAAGCGCTATATAAGAACCAGTCCATTTACCATTTACCATGTTTTCTTGTTCTAATTGAACACTTTAGTGTCCAACGAGACGACAGTGCCAGCAGCGGATCCCAGCTCCTCTGAGTTGGAGACTCCTGCTCTAGATGCTTCATTCAAACCAGAGACGGACAACTTTCAAGGTCAAAACAAACCAAACCAAGCAGGAAATGTGAATGTGGGACGATTCCCCAAAGCAGAGCGAGACAAAGCCAATAGGATACAAAGAGTGTTGTTGCACAAAGACATCAGGATTTTGGCAGAAAGTTTGTGACGTTGTAACACTAACATTTTGTCATTTTTTATGCCCACATGCTGTATGTGATAAACAGTGAATCTGAATCGCACTGTCAGTCCTAAACAAAACGACTGCTGCACAAACAAAGCACTAATAATTGTGTATAGAGTTGCACTTCAGTTGAATACTGACCACAGCAACTCTAACCCGCTGAGGAAATTTATAAACATGAAATGAAAAAAGTGAAATCATTGGTAAACATGTGAATCATGCACAGGAAGATCAAAGCAGTGATCGAGGTGGACTGACCTGCAGCCGTCCATCTAGAGTCCTCTGGATGGTCACACACTTGCTGGGATGGACACCATTGGTGGTGACAGCAGTGATGAGAGAGTCCAGCTCGTCCTTCTTCTCCTTTAGCTTCTTCACCAGACTCTCGATGGCGCGCTTAGCAAAGCCCTCGTTCTCGCCGCCCTGCCGGTGGCACATGAGGCTGTGGACGATGCTGAGGCAGGCATCGTTGCTGCTTGGTGGGTTTACTGACATGATGCTGCTGTCACAGGGCCAAAAATGGACATTTGTTCTACTTACTAGGCATGTGACAAAAAGCAGAGACATCTAAGGTTGATGGCAGCTAAAACATGGCGTCATTCCTGTGTCGCTTACCTGGTGTTAAGTTGGTCCACCAATGAGTGACCAGAAAGTTCACTGGCATCATGATGGCCCAGCTCTGAATCGTTCCCTGTTCGTGGAGCAAGAACACCAACACTTAGTGGATCCTAGTGAGGTCACGTACGCAATCGTCACTAAAGATGAAGAAGGTGTTTCTCAGGCTGGGTTTTTGTCTCCTCCCAGTCCTGAACTGGGATTGTTTACAAATATGAACGTGAGTAAGAACTGTTAACCACTACAGCACTGAGCCTCCGCTACTCCGCCTCGTCCTCAAATTATCCCATTCACAAGATTTTCAGAAAACTTGACCTCTGACCCTGATCTTGAGGTCGAGGTCACTGAAATTCAAACTCATCTGAGATTTTCAGTGGATGCAACTATGGTAGAAATGTTGAAAACAACACCAACACGACAATATCAGATGATCCTCATTCTTGAGTCACAGACTTGACTGACGATAACACCCCATCAGCTTTTTCTGCCCGAGGGTTGAAAAGGCTCCATGAGGCAGCCGGGCCACAAAGAGCTGGTTACTCTTCCTAAATCCTTTATTCCCATCTGGATAAAAGAATAACGCTTTGACAGGACAAAGTGAATTAAGCTGCTTTTGGCCTCGTTAGTAGGGGTGGGGGAAAAAAACTTGATACTGTGTAGTATGGTGATATTTTGTTTGCTAATAATGTATCGATACAGGGACAGCAGAAAACGATACTTTGTTACAAAAAATTTTTTTTTTTCTGAGCAAGAATCCTGACATTCCTTCACTGTCCAAATGTGTTTAACTTGTTTTTGGCAGCAATAAACATGACAGTTTACTTATTTTAATTTAAGACATGTTTTATTTTAATTACGTTTAAAACTTTTTTATTTAATGTAAAATTATATTTTG